GTCGTTTCACGCCTTACCGCCTCCTGACACTTCCTAAAAGAAAACATTGCTAAAATTGTATTTTTTTCGTAAAGTACATTTATTAAGCTTTCTTATGATGTATAGTTTGTTGGGGTTTTATTGAAACTGGCGCGCATACAATTTTTTTTCCAGAAGGGCACCTGCGAAGGTGGGAAGTAACCTTAATGCGTGTTCTTATAAGCCTGGGTTCACAAAGATTTTACGATTACTGGGAATGTGTTCTTATAATAAGCATTAAATAATGCCAAAATGGGGCATTTTCAATGCCACACTGCTCCTTAATGAGCATGGGCATCCCCCTTTTTTATTTCAAAATTGAAGTTACCATATGACAAATATTCAGTGGACAAAGTTTGACCAAAAATCTATTGTCACTTTTATTTCAGAGGAATTACCTTAAGTGGTCTGCAATTCACCAGAGGTATAAATTTGGCCTTTATGTGTAGTAGATACTGAACAAGATAGGAAATGTCTCAGAGAACAGGGTCTCCGTCAGTGGCAGCTACCTGTACATCGATGGTGACGTCCCCCACTTTTAATGTCCAAAGGTTAACCTGGCTTGTCTAAATAAATATCTTTTTCTCAACAGATAAATTACTACATGTAATTCCAGATCAACACTATTTCCACAGTGATACTGTTACAAAACACCACTAGATATTCTTGTCAGCCATCATATTAAAACAATTTATAGAAATGTTGCACACTTACTTCCACCTGCTTCTTGATTGAGAACGGATCAGATAACGTGTTGTTAAAAGATGTGAAAAGACTGCCAGAAACTCACTGCAATAGCTTGTAGCTGTTGTGCTACTCACTAGTCTTCTCAGAGCAATTTGATCTAGACAAGAACCGCACTCTTGCCAGGGTCAGGTTGAACAGAAGATGGGTACAGTAACTTAGCCTGCGAGTGGACTCTTGTGTTTGGGCTTAGGGCACTAGTGACGAAGCTGTGAGAAAACACTCCCTCACATGCCAACGCAAAAAGTAAGAAAGCAGCATTTGAGTGGGAAACCCAGACACTAGAGCCTGCTCACAGGCTATGGGTAACTCTATCCACCCAAAAAATCACTGACCCTGACTGGATAGGGATTTACCCAATGGCCGATAGCTTTATCAAGCTTTTGAACAACCAGGCCAGATGTATAGCTAGGGGTTGTTCAAAACTAGTCAAATTTTTTTAACAATCACAGTTTGTGGTTGAAGTAAAGCAAAGAAAATAAATGACAACAAAATAATTTCTCCCTATATTTATTTATTAGACATTACTGAAGTGAATTCTGTATTCTGGATTGTGGATTGCAGATTGCAGATTGTGGATTGTGGATTGTGGATTGCAGATTCTGGGTTCCGGATTCCGGATTCCGGATTCCATCTTTTAGTATTGCCCTACAATAAGAAATGCATGAAAGTAACATACAAAATAATTGCAAATATAATTGTAAAAATAATTGTTTATGATTAACAATAATTAGCAATCCTTGTTCTTCTAATATTATTGTTGAGGTTTCCACCAAATGCTGATTGAGTGATTGTATGAACCACTATTGCTACAAATGGACAACACAGGGGAAAGAAAATCATCAGGCAAATCGACTGCCAGTGACGTCAGCTCAGAGACTGCATCATGCAGACCCTATTCTTCACCAGAAACACCAGCTGCTTTTTCTTCATCACAAGTAGTTAGATCAGCTACTCCATCCACTTGGTATGCACCTTCCAGTCCTTCAGCTGCATCTTTATCAAGAGTTGGTCATTATTCACAGTCACCTGCAGACTCAATGGACTCCCACAACAGTCAAAATGAGGTAACAACTAATATTATTACTTAGAAACAATATGTTACACTGTAACTATTTTTGTACACTGTAGATCAGTTTCTGGCAGAGACAGTGAAAAGAATTCTAGATTATGATTGGTCCAGAAGCCCTGGCTATTGTATGCAAGCATAATTTATTCTGTTTGTGTGGCCCAAATCAGCAAAAACTGCAGTAACTGTTGGAAAATTTATCAACTACCTGTAAACCAATCAGAACCATGAAAGTATTAGGCAAGTACAAACAAAGTACAGGCAAGTATTTTGCCTGTGTGATAATATTATAACACAATCCAACTTATTTGTTAATTGGGTTAGCAGCTGTTGCGTGCCTCTTTTGAACCAATAACTACAGTAGCAAGCTAACATACCTGCCAATTAAACTAAGTTGCACTTAATCACATTCATGGTTAGTTTTTGAAGTGATTTGTCAAAACACTGTGGTTGTACTACTGAGATACATATTTCTTTGAAATGTAGAACATTCATCTTGAGGGTCAGTGGCATTGGTAGCTACTGGTAAAGTCCATACAAACCAAGTGGCCTATCAGGCCAGAGCTTATCCCAACTATATGTAGCAGTATTTCTACCCTCCTGGATGGGCCGGTTACTCCCAGCATTATAAGTTTGCTGGTACCTATTTATACACCTGGGTCAGGAGAGAGGCACTGTGAGAATAGAGTGTCTTGCCCAAGAATGCAACGCAATGTCTCCATCCAGGGCTCGAACTCAGACCATTAGATCCAGAGATGAGTGCTGCCACCACGCCTCCACATGGCATTGATGCTACATAAAATACAATTCTTCCTCTTTGTGGCTTCATTTCATTGACCACAGTCTTTAAACAACAACTTCCAGGAAACAACTAATCAGAAATTTAAGTCCCCCTTTGTATTGTATTGTTTCATTAAAGATGCTGGCTTTGCTCATACTTAAAGGTGCATTTTTCTAAGCTACATGTAATAAATCACCACTAACAATTCTTGTTTTGACTTACAGTCATGCATGTTTTCTTTCCTTCTTTCTGATGCAGCCTTGCAGTTGATGTACATGTAATCCTTCACCCAAGTTTCCACCGTCAGTCAGAGTCCCAACTCAGTCAAACAATGTCAGTAACTCAACACCATCAAGTAAGTTGATACTTAAGTGCTGGGGGAATGTCAGCTAACCCCAAGTGAAATCTGTGGCTTGAGTCTGAATTCTCTAAACTAATATACATGTACAACATTATATGGGCTCAGGGGTTTCAATAAAAATGTTTTGCAGGGGGGTTAAGAACAGGTTTACAAACCAGGTAACTAAATTGGAAGGCCAAAACAGCCTAACAGAAAATTTTGAAATTCTTCACTTTCAGAGATGTATTTTCCTGAATTCTGGAGCAAAATTTAGGGCTCCTCTGAATCATTAACTTACCTACCTGGTTTATTTCAACAAATTTGAGTAAGGTAGCATGATTTTCAGGCATCTCATAGTTAGATAGTGCATTTCTCAATGCTCATTGCTACAACATGAAATTAAACTTTAGTTAGTGTATTTCTTTCCTTCTGGTGAGCCTACACTTACATGTCTTTACCAGTTTTACATGTAAACAGTTTTGAAAATTAATCACTACAAAAAGTGTGAACACCTTTTGGGCTCCATTACTATAAGTACAGTAGGTCCCAGTTTCCCTTGATTTTCAGGTGCATGATGTGCCTGGCACATTTTCTTTGGTTGCATTTGCCGTGTTTTAATATGGTTTTACATGTGTACGAAGACTTGAGTTAAAATTTATACACCAAAAAGGCTGGAGTTAAAAAAACTGCAGTTTCTTCTTGAGTTCATAATTTTAATCAAGTAGATCATTGGAGTTCTTTAAAATTTCTTGTACATATTCAAAGTTGTGGTTTTGTCACAATCAAACAGGCTTCAGATAGCTACATGTACATGTACTTTTATAGTCTGGAAAAAATTCACACTATGAAGACATGATTGATCATCACAGTTATACACACAACTTAAGCAGGTGTGAAATTAAAGCCTGAAAAAAAATTCAGGCCTGAATGGGATTCGAACCATTGCGATACCATGACCTCTGCGATACTTCTGCCATGCCATAACGATACCGGTATTGCAGAGGTCATGGGTTTGAATCCCGTTCAGGCCTGAATTTTTTTTCAGGCTTTAATTTCACAACTGCTTAAGTTGTGTGTATAACTGCGATAGTCAATCATGTCTTCATATCATTCTTCGCAGTTCAAATATATGAACTTTCATACATTCATTTGTATTCTTCACCATCTATGGGTATATTACAAACTCACAATGTGGGCAGCTCCCAGTTGGCTTGATAGCTCAGTTGGTAGAGCACTGCACCGGTATCGCAGAGGTCATGGGTCCGAATCCCGTTCAGGTCTGAATTTTTTTCAGGCTTTAATTTCACAACTGCTTAAGTTGTGTGTATAACTGCGATGATCAATCATGTCTTCATATCATTCTCTCCAGTTCAAATATTTACACTTTCTTGTAATTATTCATTTGTATTCTTCACCATCTACTGGTATTACTATATTACAAACTCACAAATGTTGTCAGCTCCCAGTTGGCTTGATAGCTCAGTTTACAGGACACTGCACCGGTATTGGAGGGGTCCTGGGTTCGAATCCTGTTCTTGCCTGAGTTTTTTTTCAGGCTTTAATTTTACAACTGCTTAAGTTGTGTATAACTGCGATGATCAATCATGTCTTCATATCATTCTTCGCAGTTCAAATATATGAACTTTCATATATTCATTTGTATTCTTCACCATCTACTGGTTTATTACGAACTCACAAATGTTGTCAGCTCCCAGTTGGCTTGATAGCTCAGTTGGTAGGGCACTCCACCGGTATCGCAGAGGTCATGAGTTTGAATCCCGTTCTTGTCTGAGTTTTTTTTCAGGCTTTAATTTTACAACTGCTTAAGTTGTGTGTATAACTGCGATGATCAATCATGTCTTCAATTATGTGCAATGTTGTCATGTACATGCATGTATTCTGAACATTGTAAGTCACTTTTCTAAAGTATGTTGTGTATAAGTCAAGGGATATGGTCATAATCTTGCATTTTTTTCCTTCTAACAGATAAATCAGGAGAGGGGAAAAGAAAATTGTCAACCAGTTGGAGTACCCCAGATCCTAAACAAGCCAATCTCACACCTGTGGAAAAAACAGGTTATCATTATAATTTGATAATAACACTGTCTTCTACATTATAGGGGAAAATTCATAATAAATTCCACAATGAAGATTAACACTAATTCATTTTGATGAAGGCGTACAGCATAGTCCTTTTATTACCGTTGTTATTGTTTAAGGTTCCTGATTCTCACCATACACTCAGTAAAGTCTGCATTCGAGCCCTGAGTGGCCCATCAGGTCGGTTCTTCTCTCCAGTATTCACAGCATGAAGGAACTGGGAAGTATTTTTACTCCACTCACCCCGTCTTTCTCTCTGGATGGGATGTTAGTCCATTGCAGGGCTACCTCCACCATTAAATTTGCCTGGTACCCATTTATAAACCTGGGTGGAGAGAGGCTCTGTGCGAGTTTAGTGTCTTGTCCAAAATCACCTCAGTGACTTATGCCAGACCTAGAAAGGCCTGAAGGAGGACAGTAGAGGAGGAGAGCCGGCAGGCAGGGTGGAATGACTGAAATACCATGAGAGTGGTAGCCGGGGATAGGAAACAGTGGAAACAAAATGTCATCGCCTTATGGGCCTACTGCCACAAAGAGCAGTGATGATGATTATGACCCAGCCCAGGGCTCGAACCCAGACTGCTCTTGTGGGTTTCAGCCCACTAACCTTTAGGCCACTGCACCTCTCAGTGTAGAGATATTATGCTTACTATTACCTTGCATGTTATCTTTTCAGCAGCAGACTCTAAACACAGTAAAAGACTTGGTACACAGGACTGCTATAACCACCCTCCACTGCTCAGTTTTAAAGTCCCAGAGTTAAGTGATCTTCCCAACACGTGGAGTAAATGGAACGATGTTGAACTCCCTGTCGATTTTCTAGTACTGACAGTGGAGGATTGTGAGTTCCTAGGATTTTTTTCCTATCTCGAAAAGCCCTTTAGGAGTTACTCCAGAGAAGTTGGTTGCGTTTACTTTGGCTTCTTGGGTAATGGTGGTGGGAAGAAGTTGAAAGTTGCACTGATGAGGTCTTCCAAAGGTTCTGCTGTTCCTGGTGGGTCTCTAACCGTCGCAAAAGACGCTGTCCATGTACTGAGACCCAAGGCTGTATTTTCGGTGGGGGCCTGCATTGGATTGAATCATGATAAAGGCAAACTAGGAGATGTAGTTGTCTCCTCAAAGTTAACAACAGCCGTCTACAAAACCCCTGCAAGCAGAGACGTTAGCAACCTCATTAGACATGCAGCTGACGGCTGGCAGGCACCTTTAGAAAACCCAGGTGCTCTGGAAGTAAGAGTACACTGTGATAGTGACTTATTGAGTTGGCCAGAGGGGGTTAGTGAGGACATTAACCCGCGATGCGCTGAGGCAATTGCAGTTGAAATGGAGGGGGAAGGTGAGTTTGTCAGATGTCTGCTTCAAAACGTTAATGGTACGAACTTGAAACTAAACTTGTATATAATGTTCTTTTTTTTTTCACCTGCACACCTCAGGTGATCATTACACTTCAGTGCGTTTTCCCAAGGAGGCTCTTCGATGAATACATTTGGAAAAAATTGAATAAATTCGCTCAGCCTTTTTTCATAACAGCTACTTAAGAAATTTCTAGTAACTACTGAGAAAGACATGCCGCGAGTTTTGAAAATAAAATTCTGGTCAAGCTACTTCATTACCTTCTCTCTTTTTTCAGGCTGTAACATGTTTTGTTCTGTGTGGCCAACGAATGCGGCATGTTGATGTTGAAATATTTTGAGATTCAAAAGAACTAAATATACATGTACTAACTCCACAAATTTGGTTTTGGGAACGTGAATGTCTAAACACTGAAGTTTAGAGTGGCCTTATTGATCCATCAAAGTATATTAAGTGCTGACCACCACCTTCACAGGAGGCTTCTATTCATGAATAAACCAGTCTATTACAGCAAGGTAGTAAAATGATCGCAAGAAGCGAAATCATCCGGGAAATGGCGATGTGCGTGGGCTTCATTCCGGGAAACATTGTCCAGCTCCATATATACGACATTGTTTGACATTTTCCAGCAGGGTGGCAACACAGTGCAACGTTTTGCCCAACCGATTTTTTAGCAAAGGTGATCAATTTATTAATGAATCAAGGTCTAAGATGCATATGAATCAATTCTACAAGGACCATATTGGTTTATGTATAGTTTTTTTAGTTTTATTTATTTTCTTGGGAGGGCATTATTTATCACCGTATTTGCATTGTTGTATTACAGGTCTGTTTACCGCAGCCCATGACCTAAAGACAGAATGGGTTGTCGTTAAAGGTATCAAAGACTACAAAGATGGCAGTCAATCTTTAACTGCTGATGAGTGGGGGGTTTTTGCCAGTGTCATGGCGGCTTCAGTTGTGGCTAACATTCTGAACGATGCTGCTGTCTTTCAAGAATGGCCCAATTACCAAGGTAAGTCCTCTGCTTTCCAGCCGTCCAACCGGATGTTAGACGCCAAACTGAAAAAGATAAAGAAGCACGCCATTGGGCGTGAAGACCTTCGGCGTCTGAAAGAGAGCGCTGTTATTAATCCAAAAACTCCTCGAGGTCTCCTATATAACGTCTGGTTTCATGTCGCCCTGTATTTCCCTCGACTTGGACGGGAAGGACAGAGAAAATTGACGAAGGCCAGTTTCCTATTCCTCCAGGATGAAGGCAACAACTGGTACGCAACCATGGCCCATGACGAGTCAAGAAAAACACACCAAGGAGGGAAATATGACACCGCCACAAACTACGAGAAACGTAGAAGAATGTACCAGACAGAGCATCAGAGTGATGGATTTAATGCCCTCCAACTTTACTGCAGGAAACTCAACCCTGCTTGCAACGCTTTTTTCCAGTTTCCGAAGCGGTACTGGAATGGGCCAGAAGAATCAGTGTGGTTCGAAAATCGATGTCTAGGCGTAAACAAGCTCGGTAGCATGATGGAAGAGCTCAGCAAAAAGGCTAATCTTTCTCACGTTTATACCAATCACTGCATCAGGGCAACAGCTGTAACACTGTGGTCGGATGCTGGTTTGTCAAATTCCCTGTCAAGCCACGGGAATGAAAATTCCCTCAAGAGCTACGACGCTCGTCCATCTTCGCAGCAGCTCCAGGAGTGCAGTAATGTTCTCTCATCTACCCTGAATCCAAAAGCCACACCAGCCGATCAGCAAATGCAAGTCTTACGAGGGAATCAGCAACAACTTCAACAATCTGGATCCGTGGCTTGTGCTATGATTCCTAACCAGCAAAACTTCACAAGGCATGATGAGCAATTCAATTTCTCAACCATGTTCTCGGGCTGCCAAATCGGGCAAGTTCACGTGATTTTCAAGAGTGATCAAGCGCAGTGACATTCGTATTTAAGTTCTTACCAGATGAATTTCAACATTATCATTGAATTTAAATATTTCTTCACCGCTTGTGAAGAATAGCTTGTTAAGAGTGGCATGCATTGTCTTTTGCCTTTGTCAATAAACGAGTTGGTATGGCGCTTAGTACTTGATAATATTAAAGAAAATTAGTCTGACATCCGTATGTATCAGAACATTCCTTAAAAGTTAAGAATTTTCCGTTTCATTGAGCTAACTCCTCTAACCATTCATGAAAATATACCGGCCTCCCGCCAACTAATGTCTTTATTGTTGAAAAGAGCTAAATCCTGTGATTGGTCATATCCATGAAGAGTTTTCAGTTCACTGAAAAACTCAAGGATAGATTTATAAAAAACCCGGTAATTTGTCAAAGTATTTGACATTGTAATGGCACCTGAGTAGGAGATTTAATCCTCCCATTTTTCTGAAGAAGTGGTCTGGAACTGTACACCAATTTTTCTTGCCTGCGGACAGCATCCTAGGGATCAAAGCAAGTTTGAGTGATTTAAACATTAGACCCATGTCAGTCATACGTAATCCTCCTTTATCAGTGTCATGGTATAGTCCTGATCTTTTTATTTTGTCTTTCGTTTTTCTCAAAAGAAACTTAAAGCATTTGGTTTTAACCGAGTCTTCGATTCCTGCGGGGACGGGGAGATTTGATGCGGAATAAATTAGCTGAGATATCCCGAGGGTTTTGATTATCATAACTTTTCCAAAAAGAGTCCGATCTCGAGAACTCCACATATCGAGTTTTGTTTGTAATACTTTCAGCTTTTGATTAGAATTAAGCTCATCATTTCCTTTGACGTCGCACGAGAAATGAACGCCGAGTATCTTGACGGGACTGCGCCTCCACTTCATTCCAAGAGGGTTTGCTCCTACTCTTTGCCCATTTCACAAGCCAGATCGCTTTTGTTTTCTTAACCTTTAAACATAAACCGGCTATGTTCCCAAACTCTTCTACTATTTCTAAGCCTCTTCTCACAGAGGCTAAGTCAGCAGTGAATTGTTGGTGTCATCCGCAAAGAGCGACAGTTTTACATCATTTCTGAACAGCTTAATTCCTTTGAATTCTGGGTCTTGTCGGATTTTATGCGCCAGGATATCTGCTGAGAGAATAAACAGATAAGGGGACAACGGACAGCCCTGTCTCACCTTTTGACGGTATAAGCCAATTAGTTGCAAAACCGTTGTTAAGAACGGCACTTTCAACTTGATTTTGACTTTTGTAACGCGAATTTTCCGCATTGGTTCATGTGTGGTCAGATGCGCGTTTTGATTGGCTTGTAGGAAAGATGATTGTCTAGAGCGTGTATTGAGAAAATCTTTTGGGATCAAGAAGTAAATAAACGCAATTGCCCTTCATTTGTCGAATTAGTTTTTGAGAAATAATTTGTTAAAGCAATAGAGGACTTATTTCCATTTTTACATAGCCTCGTCTAAACACTCAGGGGGCTGGGAGAATTCTCGAAAGTTATGCAAACCCGTGACTGCGTCTCGGGTTTGCATAACTGTCTCGAATTTTCCCAACCCCACTCGTGTTTAGGTAAGGCTATGTAAGAAACGTTCTCACCTCGTTATACTTGATTAAAAACTAGGTAGGAGCCGCACATGTTCACATTGTGTTTTACAGTTATCGCACCATGCAACGCAGTATGTGATCAAAACAATAACATGCACATACAGAAATGTGTGTTTCTTTTACTACGATATCCGCCTTGAAAGAACTTTTGAATGCTTTCTAGAAATCTTCCTATTCATAAAGAACTTGGAAATAAGAAATCATTTCCACCTGCCTCGTGCTTCGTTAGGTACAGTTTTATGTCTTAATTTCCAGTAACATATGAGTTTTGCGCAACATCCAGGTTTTCGACGTGCGACGCGAGTCAATGTATTGCTTTGTGTTGGACCTTCCTCGTCTTCTCTTCCTCCCCCCATCACCCTCTCACTCTAGCCTTTTAGGAAGGCTAGACACTGATAGGTTACCGTTTTGCACAAATTGTTTTGTAAAATAAAACTTTACTACTTCTCTAGTTGTACTATCATTTGGATTGACCCCTTAATTCATTATCGTTGATATTCAGATGCATCGCCTGAGGACATTTTTAAGTGAACTCCTGTCGTAGTAAACTCCCAGAAAATTACAAAAGAACCGCCACAGCGCCCACCTGTGTGTTCTAAAACCTGCCCAATGGACATTCATGACATCTACACTCGACTGTCCTGGGTAAAAGAGGAACAAACGCCAGCTGGGTCATCACAGTCAAAGCTTAACCATTACACAGATATTTTCACTGCAAACAAGAACGGTGTTGTCCCAAAGAGGATACTCGTGCAAGCGCGGACGGGTATCGGGAAGAGCACTTTCGTGAAGACACTGGCTTAAGACAGGGCTGAACTTGATGACGCGACAACGGGAGACAAACAGAAAGATATCCTGAAGACGTTCGAGATTTTGGTTGCCGTTAATCTCAAAGAAGTCTCTAAATGCCAAAACCTTCGAGATGTCATTAGTCACTCGTCGAATTGGGTTTGTTTCCTGGAAGAAGCTACTTTTTCATCATTATCAATAAGACCGTCAGAAAAAAAGCCCCTCATAACTTATGCTTAGGGCAACTGTGCCAGCCGCAACGGTCATAAATATGGTATCGAATTTTTGGCCAGGTCATAAATAGGGTAGCAAGAATCGCAGATTTTGGTCATAAATAGGGTAGGGGTTTTGGGAAGTGGGCCGCACACCCCCACCCAACTTTTCTGAAAGTACCCTCCC